AAGATGTTTTAAAAGTATAGCTATCAAGATATTAATATTTCAAAAGCAGAGTGGTCCAAGTAGTGAAATGGCCCTGATTATGGTAATTGAGTGTGAAAAGAGACAGATCATTGGGACTATAGAGGTTAAAAATGTCAGGTTAGGGTGTTGGGTAAATTGTTCTCATGTGTGTGGGAATCGTCAGGATAATAGTAGGAATGGGTGGAAAGGACAACTCAGCAATGACCATGAGATGACAGTGACATGGAAAGATTAAGCAGCTGGATGGCTTGAGCCTGAGTGAGTTGTGGGCAGGAGAGGAAGGGTTTCTAAGGAAGTAGTGAAGTAGATGAGAAAGGAAAGAGTTTCCAACAAAACTTGATTTGAATCCCTCAGATCCCTGAATTGCACGCTTCTATACCCTTCTCACCTTTTCAAGTGCTCCAACCTCACCTTCCTTCCAGGGCATTTGTGCAGATCGTTGTCAGTAAAGGAGGAGCACTTACTGTTTTAGGAGCCAGTAACATTCGAGGATTTCTCTGTGGACTTCACTGAGGAGGAGTGGGGTCCCCTGGACCCTGCTCACAGGAAGCTGCACAGAGCTGAGATGCCACAGCCCTACAGCCACTTGGTCTCAATGGGTAAGAAAATGAACCTGGACACCTGCCCATTGGAGTCTTTGTTTCTTCAATTTTAAATAGTGATGGGGCCCTAGGAGTTGTAGTTCAGGAATCAGAGTTTCCTAATTTCTTTTTGACACAAAAGGATGTTTCTGATTATTCTAAGCAGCTAAAGAACTTTACTTGGTAAGAACTGGAGAATTGTAGCTTTACTGAGTCATCTGAGAAATCATACCTGATCCATCCCTGATACGGCAGAATTTGGTACTGATTTGCCTTCTGCACAGTTACCCAACCCCTGTGTATTTCCCAGATATGATCTTCCAGTTGCACTAAGTTGAAGTTAATTACATAATGAAGAACGAACTCCAAAGGAATCTGCAAGGCATCATGGCAAGTTACAAATCCATGAAAGAGGAGTCCCTTTTTATATTTTATTTTTTTAATTAAATCTTTATTGTTGAAAGTATTACATGTCCTCTTTTTTCCCCCATTGACCCCTTCTAGCCCGACCCCAACCCCACCCCCGGCCCTTCACTACCCTATTGTCTGTGTTCATGGGTTATGCATATATGCATACACGTTCTTTGGCTGATCTCTTCCCACCCACCCACCCACCCTCCTCCACCTTCCCTCTGAGATTCCACAGTCTGTTCTATGTTTCTATGTCTCTGGGTCTATTTTGTTCATCAGTTAATATGAGTGAGATCATGTGATACTTACCTTTCTCTGATGGGTTTATTTCACTTAGCATAATACTGTCCAGGTCCCTCCAGGCTGTCTCAAAGGATAAGAGATCCTTCTTTTTTTACAGCTGCATAATATTCCATGGTATAAATGTACCACAGCTTTTTTATCCACTCATCAACTAATGGGCACTTGGGCTATTTCCAGATCTTGGCTATTGTAAATTATGATGCTATGAACTTAGGGGTGCATACATTCTTTCTGATTGGTGTTTTGGGTTTTTTAGGATATATGCCTAGAAGTGGGACCACTGGGTCAAATGGCAGTTCCATTTTTAATTTTTTGAGGAAACTAAGAGGAGTCCCTTTTTAAATGTTTAAGGAGTTCTCTTTGAAGTTCTCCGGTCTGTGGAGAAAGCTGAGTCTTCAAAGATACTTTCCACAAACTGATCTACCTGTATCTATTCACTTACTCTCCCTTCTAGCTTTTCAGAAAGTTGTGGTCTTTCTCATTCACGCTGACCTTCTTATCTGTACTCCGTCTTCTCCCACGTTTTTCCCACCTTGGTCTTGCACCATCTTTGCTTGGACTTGATTTTCATTAAAAACCCCACTGCCCTGCAATATCTAGTTCCCTTTGCTTCTTTTCTTACACATCAGAGATTCATCCATCTCCCCTTCTGAATATAAGACAACATCTATCTAGAGATAGATAGGAGCATAGCTGACACAGGTTTTCTCAAAAAGCTTTTGACTGTTTGAAGCAAAGAGCCTGAAACATTTCTGATGAAATAATTCATTTTTAGGTATCTGCCCTAAGGAATTAATCAATAACTTCAACTGAAAATTGTGAACAGTCATTATAGAATTATTTAATACAGTGAAATAATTACCAAATATATCAGAGGGGGTTGGTTATACAAATTATAGAGGGTCATATACTGGTAAGAGAAAAACATGTGGCCATTAAAATATATACTGATCAAGACTTCTTAATTTTTATTGAATTTATTGGGACAACATTGGTTAATAAAATTATATAGGTTTCAGGTTTACAGTTCTATAATAGATCATCCATATATTGTATTATGTGTTCACCACTCCAAGTCAAGTCTCCTTCAATCACCATTTACTTCCCCTTTACCCTATTCAATGTTCCCCAATCCCCTTTTCTTTCTGGTAATCACCATACTGTTTTCTGTCTCTGGGTTTGGGGTAGGATGAGTTTGCTCACCCCCTTCACCTTTGTCAACCTATCCCTCAATCCCTCCCTTCTGACAGCTGTCAGTCTAGTCTCTGTATCTATGGGTCTGTTTTTATTCTGTTCATTAGTTTATTTTGTTCATTAGATTCCACATATAAGTGAAATCATATGGTACTTGTATTTCTCTGACTGGCTTATTTCACTTAGCATAATGTTCTCTAGGTCCACCCATGCTGTCACAAAGGGTAAGATTTCCTTTTTTTATAGTCCCATAGTATTCCATTGTGTCAATGTACCACAGCTTTTTTATCCACTCATCTGCTGGTGGGCACTTGGGCTGTTTCCAGATCTTGGCTATTGTAAATAATGCTGCTATGAAGAGAGGGGTGCATATAGTCTTTCTGATGGGTGTTTCTGGATTCTTAGGATATATACCCAGAAGTGTATAAAAAAAGCAGTTCCACTTTTAATTTTTTGAGGAAACTCCATACTGTTTTTCACAGTGGCTGCACCAGTCTGCATTCCCACCAACAGTGCACTAGGGTTTCCTTTTCTCCACATCCTTTCCAGCACTTGTTTTTTGTTGATTTATTGATGGCAGCCATTCTGGCAGGTGTGATCTTCTGTTCACTATTTCCTGAATCTGTGCCAGTCTTTATGAAAATTAGTTTCTACTTTTTTTGTCTGCTTACATTTTTTATGGTCCCATTTTCCCCACAAAGTCTTTTTTGTGGACAGTATGATACTGAGGTATACATCCTCAGCTGATGCCCAACCTTCTTTGGTGCATGCAGGCTCTACTAGCAAGGAACAGCTCTTCTAACTGGGCTTGGAATGGATGTCAGAATCCAGATGGTGAGTGGTATAGACTCCTTTTTCAGGGTGCCTTTTCAGACAAGTAAGTTATCTGAGGCATCCATGCTTTGATCTCCAGCTCTGAGATATCTCCCTTGTCAGAAATTCCACTTCAGGGGTTACCTTGAAGCTCTGTCCTGGAGTCAGTTGCTTCTTTTTGTACCTTAACCAGCCCTGTCATTGTTCAGGTTAGCATTACCTCCACTTCTGCTTCTCTTTTCAGCCCAACTAATTCTATTAGGAGTCTTTCTTTAGCAGATCATTTACTTTGTTCTTAAGACTTTGTATGGGGCTACTTCTGGTAGCTACCCAGTATGTCATTTTTTGTTGGGAAAAGGATGGTTGGGAGTATGATGCTGATAATAGCAACAACTAGTCTAACCATCAGAAATGTCTAACAGGACTTAAAAAACCTAAATTTCCAGGATAAACCTCTCTTATAGTCGTTGATTCTGACTTTGGAATTTGAATTATTTGAATTTCTAGGACTTCTTGAGAAGATCTCTTATTCCTTCAGAAATCATCTCCTGTACATGGCTTGACCTGTTCAATTTTTTTTTCTAGTTTCTAGTTTTCTAGTTTCTCCATCATTCCCAATTCATCTGCTCTTTATCATCTCGGAAGTTTCTCAACATTTTATTCTGGTGATGACAACTCTTACTTTTTTTAAGTCTTTTATAGATTTCTTTTTTGTTATTTCATTGTAATATTAGGATTTTCACTCTAATTGTTTTAACCAACATATATACTAGTAAGTCTAAAAATTTGTATTTTTAGCACAGTTCTCCCTCAGAAGTTCCAGACCCATATATCTCACTGCTTACTGAACAGCAAGAAGATTCCACCAGCACCACAAATTAAACATCAGATTTAAAGCTTGTCGTCTGTCCTTCTCCACTCCAGCCTTTTCCTTTTGCATTCCCTATCTTATTACATAGTACCCCTAAACCTAGTCACTCAAGCAAGGAACTTGGGATCATGCTTGCTGCCTCCTTTCCCTTCTAGTTACTCCTCATATGATTTAGAATGTCCCTCTCCCTCTCTCTCCATAACTGTCATCCTTACCATTTCTAATTTGCTACAGCAATTGTCTCTCTACCTAAAGTCTTGCTCAGTTCTGATGAGCAAGTCAATCTTTCATTCCCAATTGAAATCCTTTAATAGCTATAAATCTTTAAAGGTTTTAGCCCTAAATCCTTAGTAGTACACACCAAGCCCTTTATTCTGGCTCCTGCTTTCCTCTCCAGTATGCACTTTAGCATTGATATAGTGCTATCATTGTTGATATATTTGTTTTTCTCCCCAGTAGGCTCTAGCTTGTTTACTTTCTTGTATCCCCAGCATCTATTAAAGTGGATTACCAATTCAATGCAAATTTACTTAAAATAAAATGAAGTAAAGTGAACCAAAATGTAATTTGTGGCAAGGATGTGGGATTCATAGCCTTCTGCAGAGTTAGGGAAGGAATACTTTTTTTTCCTTAAATATATATTTTTTTTTCTTTTATTGATTTCAGAGAAGAAAGGAGAGGGAGAGATAGATAGAAACATCAATGATGAGAGAGAATCATTGATAGGCTGCCTCCTGCACACCCCCTACTGAGGATTGAGCCCACAACCCGGGCATGTGCCCTTGACCGGAATCGAACCTGGGACCCTTCAGTCCACAGGCCAGTGCTCTATCCACTGAGCCAAACCAGGTAGGGCGGGGAGGAATACTTTTATTGACTATGCGTAAAAGTGACAAGATTTATATTTTGTGTACAAAGTCTTTTCTCTGACATTAATCCAAAGTACATGACTATAAGGACAAGACTGAACTATTTCCTAGTTATTAAGGCTTCAAGACTTAAACACTCCACTTCTGAAATCTTGAAATCTATCCATTGTTTGTTTTTATCACTGAATTTTCTTTGTTCCCTAGGAGACTTGAATGAAAATTCTGTGGAGAATCTTCAAGAGAAAGGACTTGGGGATCTTTTACATGAAGAGCTTTTCTGCTGGCTAATTTTGGAAGAGATGGCCAGTACCGTAACTGGGAGTAAGGATTACATTGTGAATCTTCAAGGAGAAATATACAGGAGCCCTGAGCTAGATCTTTCCCTTTGTCAAAAGTGGGGAGAAGCATCTTCTCACGTTTCCAGCAACAAGAGCAGTGGCGTGGCCCTTCAAGGTGGTGATGTCAACAAGTGTTTAAGTGCCATGGAAAGTGAAGAGTATTTGTCTTTGAAAGTTCCGAGCCAAGTGGCCACACAGGACTCCTCAGTGACGTTTTGTAAGAATGAGCCCCAGGATCCTCAGGAGAGAAAAAGTCTGTTTGTAACAGAAGAAAGTACTGAGAGAAAAGTATTAGGAGGGAAAAGTCCACCCATAGACCACTGTTCAGAGACCCTTCATATTAAACTTGTGTCTGATGTAATAGAACTGGTCTCACCATTGTTCAGTGGTGAAGCTATTTGCCAGAAGAGCCAATTGAAAGAATCCTTGGATCCCTTTGACTGTAACTGTAATAACATTTATGGTTGGAAATCACGGGTGGTCAGTCATCAGAGAGCTCCTACAGAGAAGCATCCCTGTAACCATTATGACTCTGGCAAAATACCTAATACCAGCTCAGATAGTCATCCATGTGAGAAAATGCACAGTGCAGAGAAACAATACCAATGTAGTTGGTGTGGTAAGGACTTCAGTGAGAGCTCAGAACTACTACTTCATCAGAGAGATCACACAAAAGAAAAGCCCTACAAATGTGAGCATTGTGGGAAGGGTTTCGTGAGGAGCTCAAGTCTCCTCATCCATCGAGCCATCCACACTGATGAGAAACCTTATAAGTGTGACAAGTGTGGGAAGGGCTTCACAAGGAGTTCAAGTCTGCTTATTCATCATGCAGTCCATACAGGCGAGAAACCTTATAAATGTGACAAGTGTGGGAAGGGCTTTAGTCAGAGCTCCAAATTGCATATCCATCAGCGAGTGCACACTGGTGAGAAGCCCTATGAGTGTGGGGAGTGTGGAATGAGCTTCAGTCAGCGCTCTAACCTGCACATCCACCAGCGAGTCCACACAGGAGAGAGGCCCTACAAATGTGGAGAGTGTGGCAAGGGCTTCAGTCAAAGTTCGAACCTTCACATTCACCGGTGCATACACACAGGGGAGAAGCCTTACCAGTGCTATGAGTGTGGAAAGGGCTTCAGCCAGAGCTCAGATCTCCGCATCCATCTCAGAGTTCACACTGGGGAAAAGCCTTATCACTGCGGCAAGTGTGGGAAGGGGTTTAGCCAGAGCTCCAAACTCCTCATCCACCAGAGAGTACATACTGGAGAAAAGCCCTATGAGTGCAGCAAGTGTGGGAAGGGCTTCAGCCAGAGCTCCAACCTCCACATCCACCAGCGAGTTCACAGGAAAGATCCCTGTTAACAAACTCTTCAATTATATGCTTGTACTCTAAAGACTTAAATATTTTTAACATCACTCTGACCTCTATATTCTATGAAGAAAGATGAGTTATTAAGATTTCCCTCACTGAAAATTCATTCATTTGAAGTATTTAAGTGCCAAGAACTTTGTTATATTATACAATGAATTCCTTGTTCTAGTTCCTTAGATAGGTGGAGTGAAAACAGCTGTACACTAGCTCAGCCAGTGTTGTTAGAACTACACTAGAGGCCCAGTGCATGAAATTTGTGCACGAATAGGGTCCCTAGACCTGGCCAGAAATCAGGGCCGATCGGGACCTTCATTCCCTAGCTGATGGCTGCTAGCCAGGGCCTTCCTTCGTTCTGCGCTGCCCCCTGGTGGTCAGCACACATCATAGCGAGTGATTGAACTCCTGGGGGGACACTTTGCATATTAGCCTTTTATATATATAGATACCCGCATTTATAACTGCAAGGACATTACATTTATCCAAGTTCAACATGTTTCCCTTTGTTCACAATCTCTGAGAAAACATAACACTGATTTCTCTTCAAATCATGTGTCTTGTGTTTTTCATATTTCTTTCCAGCCTGAGTAGCCCTGAATAAACTATAATTGTATAACATATTGGTTTTAAGCCATGGGGTAGTTGGAGATAAAATCAACATAGAAATTTGTTTTGTTAATTGCAAAAACATACCACAGTCTGTGGCCACACAACAAGAAGATGGAGAAGAGCTCCTTGTGTAGTACAACCCATACACCATTTTAGAGGATGTTGAGCCCCCCTCCCCACAAAGCAAGAGCTCGATAACATAACTACCGTAGTTGTTTTTTATGGGTGTAGCTAGTCTATTGGGTTCTTCCAGATCTCACCACCTCATATGACTCCCCAAACTAGAGCCAGATAGGTTATATACACTATGTTGAAACATTTCAAATGAAGTTGAAACCTACTTAAATGAATTCAGTTCCTCTCTCAACAATTCCCTCTCTGTTTTCTTAATTTTCTTGACCACCCATGTTCTATACCAGCGGTTCTCAACCTGTGGGTCGCGACCCCTTTGGCGGTCGAACAACCCTTTCACAGGGGTCGCCTAAGACCATCCTGCATATCAGATATTTACATTACGATTCATAACAGTAGCAACATTACAGTTATGAAGTAGCAATGAAAATAATTTTATGGTTGGGTCACAACATGAGGAACTGTATTTAAAGGGCCAGAAGGTTGAGAACCACTGTATACCAAGCAAGACAAAAGAATCAGGAGTTTCTGATGTTTATCTCTGGGCTTATCTCTTAATATTTGATTTACTAAAAAAAGTCATTTGTTTTTGCAGCATCTCTGGCCTCTTTAGACCTCACTATAGACATCTCATATTTATAAATTATTTTTATATTTGGCTAAAAGTATTCCATATGAAAGTAGCTATATAAAAATTTTTAAACCATATTCAGGTCTAGCCGGCGTGGCTCAGTGGTTGAGTGTCAACCTATGAACCAGATGGTCACAGTTTCATTCATGGTCAGGGCACATGCCCTGGTTGCGGACTTATCCCCAGTGTGGGGTGTGTAGGAGGCAGTCAATGATTGTATATACAAAACTAAATTGGAATTTACTATACAATGAGCTCTTCATTGCAGCCCTGAATTTCTAAATGGTAGTTAATGAGTCCTCTAGCAGTGTTCTGGAGGCTGCCCAATTATCCAGATCTGTTTTTCTCCAGTGATTAGTATTCATATGTGAAAAATACCAGGGAAATTATGCATGCTTTGTTTACTAGCCTGAGAGGTGAGCTTATAACTGATATATCCAGCCAAAGGCAACCTAACACAGTTAATTGGATGTAGATAGCAGGGGAGGTATACATTAATTTAGAGAAAACATAGTTAATCTCTATTAAGGGTGAAGGAGGTTGACAGATTAAGATATTTACCCTACTTAAAGAGACAGCCCAGAATATTTGACTCCAACCCATAGCAGTCCATATGGAATGATTAGGGTAATGACTAAGCTTTTATACCCAAAGTCTCAAGTGGGTATAAAATAGCCTGTTTTTCCAGATTTCCTCTTATACATAAGTTACCAATGTTTTTAACTATGTTTTTACTGTCTCTTTTAAGCATTACCTTTCTTAATACAATTGAAATGTGATTAGTCCTTGGAGAGCATGTCACTAATTATGGGAAGGAAGTTTAGAGAAACCAAAATATTAGAAAAAGAAACACATGCATTAAAAAAAATAAACAGAACAATGGGATATGTCACATTTCATCAGATCTTAAGACACCATGGATTGTGAGGGGAAAAACTGGTTGATTTTTTATTAGAATTGCTGAAAACTCATTCCTTTTCAGAGTTCAAGGGTTGCCCTAGTTCTTGTTTATTTTGAACAGGACCTTTGGGTAGTTTTGTTATCGGAGAAATGAGTGAATGGGTTCTCTCCATTGCTAGTGGGAATGGGGTTCTTGGGGTGCCACTGGAATAAGCATTTTTGGAAGCCCCCACAGGAAATGAGATGTGGTAGAAAGCTTTATTTGCATGGAATTACATCCCTGGGATTCAAAGTCCCATTTCCCTTAATCCAGTCGTGGAAGAGGTGCAGTTGGGGATTCAGCAGAGCTAGAAGCAAAGCCAGAGTTTCCATTCCAGTTTAGCATTAAGCTAGCTGCAGTCCATTTGTCCATTGTGTGTGGGGATCACATGGCCTGGCCATGGACCATGTGGGCAAATGCAGGAGGGTGAGAGTCCTGCAGTCAGGAATGCAAGAGACAGGTGCATGAACCAAAAGGCAAGAGAGCAAAATGCTTTGTTTAAGAGATTATCTCAAACCTTCCTGTGCTTGCAGTGGCCACACAGACAAGTACTTTCCCTGTGTCACCCACACTTTACCGGGCATGCCTCTATTCTTCCTTTGTCCAGTTCCCTCCCCCAAGATCTGCGGGGAACAGTCCTGGAGAGTGTTAAACTGCAGCTTCCTGGCAAAGCTGCACAAACGGCATGCCCATAATATTTGGCCTTCCATTTGCTCCTTTCCAGTTATTAATAACTAGTTAATTACAACTGTATCAGTCTCAGTAATCACTATGTTCAATTGGTAATTCACTACTTTAGCAAAGGATCTAGGTTACAATTTATTATTTATTGAGTACTTGAGACAAGCATTTACAATTCTTAAAATTCTTTTTTTTAATATACTTTATTGATTTTTTTTACAGAGAGGAAGGGAGAGGGATAGAGAACTAGAAACATCGATGAGAGAGAAACATCAATCAGCTGCCTCCTGCACACCCCCTACTGAGGATGTGCCCGCAACCAAGGTACATGCCCTTGACTGGAATCAAACCTGAGACTCTTCAGTCCACAGGCCAATGCTCTATCCACTGAGCCAAACCGGCTGGGGCTTTGCTTTCTTTATGGATTATATAATGTCTTCAGGTCAAGATACTGGTGATTATGTGATTACTACTTGTAGTGACAGTTCCAAATTAGATTCTTTTTAATTCTTCCTTCCCGGTGCCCCACACTGACAGCCAGAAACATAGAAGTTCACTTTTGCAGCTCCATAGCCTTCCTCATTGTATTTTTATTGGTGAGAAGGGTTCATAACAGCTGGAGTGCAAGGCTGAACCCCAGGTAATGAAAGCAAGGGAAAGTCCAAAGAAACGTGGTCGCCAGAGTAAAACTGGCATTGGGTTGGTACCTGAGAGTAGGTGATACCAAGTAGGTATAAGAGATAGAACTTGAGAGAGAGAGAGAGAGAGAGAGAGAGAGAACTGGGAAAAGCTAACATATAGGAAGCGTGTGGCAACTGATCAGCAAGGGCTACAGAAATGTCATGGTTTGGTCAGGTAAGCAAAATGGCTAGCAGAGAAAAGACTAGGGAATGTGCTTTTATTAAACAAGTCTGGTCCCCTGGACCACAATTAAAATGCTAGGGAATAATATTTTAATTTATAAAACCACAGCAATAAAGAGGGAAAAGACCATAAGCAAACAAGATCTCAACAAAAACTTGAAGATGGAAGGAGGATAGCTATTGTATCGGAAGCAGACACCATTGATACTGCTTGCCTATGAAGATAAGGAGTTGAAGGAACCAGTTTGGCTGCAGGCTCAGGAATGCCTAATAGAATGGGAGATAGGGAGGGAAAGCAGTTCTCTCATCCCATACACACATTCCCTCTTCCCCAATCCCTGTGCACTGTCAACCAGGGACTTACCCTCCAGCAAGAGATGGGGAAATTGGCCCCAAGGGAGAGACTTCTGTTTCTTGGCATTTGATAATCCAACAGCAAAGCAAATATAACAGAGGTTCAACATTCATAAAATAAAAATGAGTAAAATTATAATTAACATAGGCAAATTTTCAATTATGTATTTCAATACCTAAGTAATCCATAGCACAAATGGTAGAAAATCAGTAAAGATATATAAGATTTTCAATTAACTAACTGATGTTTCTAGAACACTCCACCCAACAACAGCATGATACAAATTCTTTTCAAGTTGACAGTTTGGGGCTAGAAAGCAAGTTCCAAAAGATTTAAAAGACACACCTAGCCGGTGTGGTTGGTGGTCGAGCGTCAACCTAGGAACCAGGAGGTCAGCATTTGATTCCCAGTCAGGGCACAGGCCCAGGTTGCCAGCTCTATTCCAGTGGGGTGTGTGCAGGAGGCAGCCAATCAATGATTCTCATTATTCTATCTCTCCCTCTCCCTTCCTCTCTGAAATCAATAAAAATATATTAAAAAAATAAAGTTAAGATGCATATTGAAACTAATACTTGCTGTTTTATTTACAACTTGATAGAAAGGTATTCATCAGTTTTTTGTTTTTTCTTTAATATGGAATGCTTCACAAATTTGCATGTCATCCTTGTGCAGGGGCCATGCTAACCTCTGTGGCATTCCAATTTTAGTATATGTGCTGCCAAAGCGAGCACAGGAGTTCATTTTTTTGTTTCCATGCTGCTAGATGTTTTGGTAGGCCACATCCAAGAACTTGTAAGGAGACAGGAGTGGAGACCTCGCATAGTGATCCAGATCATCGTCTTCCATTGAGGATGATATTTCACCACTGCTTATAGAAGTTTGCAATTCTTACTTTTCCTTGGTACATCACTATCCATATAACGTTAGTGGATAGGATGGAGTAAATGGGGAATTCAGAAATTCACTGCAAAGTAGTTAGTGGAACACATAAGAGGTTTATTTTTATGTTTTGACTTTTTTTAAAATATATTTTTATTGATTTTTTACAGAGAGGAAGGGAGAGAGATAGAGAGTTAGAAACATCGATGAGAGAGAAACATCAATCAGTTGCCTCCTGCACACCTCCTACTGGGGATGTGCCCACAACCAAGGTACATGCCTTTGACCAGAATCGAACCTGGGACCTTTCAGTCCACAGGCCGACGCTCTATCCACTGAGCCAAACCAGTTAGGGCATGTTTTGACTTTTTTTTGTTGATAAATAAGCAGTCAATATTTGACTAGTGGTATGGAGTGTACCAAATGCATTTGCAAATGACTTGACAAAATGACTATAT